ATTTTTCCTTGGTTTTTGAAGGATTCTGGCATTTGCGCCTTTTCGGCTCTCCGACGGCTCGAGACGGCCCAAGAAGCCCCCAAGATCGCCCAAGAGGCCCCCAAGAGAGCCCCATGATGGCCCAAGTGGCCTCCAAGATGGCCCCTAGAGGGCCCCAAGAGGGCCCAAGAGGCCTCCAACACGCCCAAGATGGCCTCCCAGACGCCCAAGATGGCCTCCAAGACGGCCCTGGAGCATTCCAAGCGGGCCCCAAGTCGGCCCATAGAGGCCCCCCAAACGGCTTCCGACGGCTTCAGACGTGCCAGGAACCCACCAAGATGGCCGAAGTTGGCTCGAAGCTGGCCCGAGACGGCCCAAAAAGCCCCAAAGATCGCCCAAAGCTTGCCCAAGAGGCCTCCAAGACGGCCAAGATGACCTTCAAGATGCCCACGTGTTCCCCGAAGGCTTTCCAAACCGATTCGGGGAACACGTGGTCCGATAGCTTGGCAGGTCTGGCCTCAACGTTCGGCCACATAGGCGCTTCCAAAAAGGCAGGGGGCGGCGGTGATTCGCCGTAGGCGTCTTCGATAACCCCTGCCTGTCGCACCCCCAGACGTGTCGGTAGGGCGGGCCGGGCATTTCGCCTGAGATGATCTCTCCCAGTGCATGATCCTGAGACTTGATCGCATTAGCGCCGCGCACATTCGTCTTGTAAAATGGAGGGTTGCTCCTTTTCAAAACTGTGGCTCTCGCCATAGCGCCGCGCATATTATTCTTGGAAGTCTGCAAAAAGTCCAAGGATTGAGGGCGGGTCGCTTGTTCAAAATAACTGTCTCGCCTCAACGCCGCGCACGTTCGTCTTAAACGATTGGAACAGTTTAAATAATGGAGGGCGACTCTGTGTCAAATTGCCGTTCTCGCATTAGCGTCGCGACATTGATCTTAAAAATCGCAATAGCTTTCAGGATTCGACAGATTGACATCCCAGGAATGGCGTCCTGGCACGATTCAGGACTGCCAAGACGCGAAAGTATGTTGATTCGAGGAGTTGACGTTCCTGGAATGGTGTTCTGCATGATTTAAGATTGCCAGGACGCAACGGTCAAATGGGGGTCTGGCACGATTTCGGACTGTCAGGACGCAAAAGTATGTTGATCCGCGGAGTTGAAGTCCCAAGACTTGTCGTCTGGCACGTCTTACGATTGCCAGGACGCAAGAACCACGTTGATGCGCGGCATTGAAGTCCCAAGAACGGCGTTTTGGAACAATTGAAGACTCTCAGACGGTTGTCTTCCAATGGGGCACTTCCCGCAATGAAATAAATTCTTGGAGGTGCCTATAATGAGAAAACTTGGAGGAAGGGTTCATTGCACCTTGGATTTACACTGATCTTCCTCCTCCTCCTCCTCCTCCTCCTCCTGCTCCTCCTCCGCCTCCTCCTCCTCCTTCTCCTCCTCCTCTTCCTTACCCTCCTCCCCCTCCTGCCCACCATCCCCTCCCCTCCAGGGTGCGGGGGCGGACACGTGCGGCGGTGCAACCAAGTCGCCCGTGCTCACCGAACCGACTGGCTCCAGGCTCACCAGCGGAGCCACTGGGGGCGCGAGGCCAAAGCGATCGATGCCGCTGCTGTGCACGACGCGCCCCTTTGCAAATCGAACGCCTTCCTCGAGCCCGCCCTCGTGAGAGCCTGTGTGCTCCCACCCGGCCCCACCCACCCCGCCGCCACACGCCGTCTGCCAAAACAACAGGTGCGTCCTTGACCTCCTCCGACACGTCGCCGCCAGTGGCCTTCTCGCGGGCCTTGTCGCTTATGAGGGCCATCACCTCAGCAGCCAGGGGACTCCCGACCAAGCCACCTTCGAGAACAGAGAGAAAGAATTAGCGAGGAGAGGGGAGATGAGAAGGGCCCAGAGAAGACTGGGACGGGGACGAAAAAAAATAACGCTAGAAGGGAATGAGGATATCAGAGTGAAGGAGGACCGGGGGGGGAAACTACTAGAAAGGAGGAAGACTGCGAGAGAGGGGGGGATGGAAACAAAGGGCAACGGAAGGATGTGTAGAGATAGGGAGGTGGAAAACAACAGAAACATACCGAGCCATGCCGAACAGTGCATATGACTGCTGGCGGAGGCCCCTGAACGGAGCGTAGCCCAGCGTAGCGACTTCTTCCCCGTACCCCGTACCTCGTGGCCTCGTCTCGCAGTCTGGTGCCCGCCGCCTCCGCCCTGACCTCGTGTGCGTGTACGTTTCGCGCCGCATGGGGGCTCCGGATCGCGACATACCACCACCATACGTGGGTGACCGTTGGTGCCCTTTCGACAACATCAAGGAGAGCCTCATAGTGTGTCTGAGCACGGCCCTCAGTGTCATGACAGCCTCGACATTGAGAAGCTGGTACAGATCGGCCACGTGTCGCCCCTTGCCCAATGTGATGATAGTGATGATGATGATGATGGTGATGATGATGATGATGATGATGATGATGATGATGATGATGATGATGATGGTGGTGGTGATGATGATGATGGTGGTGGTGATAATGCTGTTGATGATGGTGGTGTTGAGGATGACGATGGTGATGATGAGGACGATGATGATGAGCATGTAGAAGAAGAAGAAGAAGACGGTGATGATGATGATGATGATGGTGATGATGGTGATGATGGTGATAGTAATGGTGGTGATGATGATAATGATGATCATGATGATAATGATGATGATGGTGATTATTAGGAGGATGAGGGGAAGGATGATGATGATGATGATGATGATGGTAGTGATGAAGATGGTGAAAACGGCGACGATGATGACGATGACGATGACGATGATGTTGACGCTGATGCTGATGCTGATGATGATGCTGATGATGATTGAGAAATGAATGATGAACCGTGAATGGTAAAGGATGAATGATGGATGGTGAGTGGTGGATGATGGTGATGGTGATGGTGATGGTGATGGTCGTGATGGTGATGGTGGTGATGGTGATGGTGATAGTGGTGATGGTGAAAGTGACAATGATGATGATGATGTTGACGATGACGATGACGATGACGACGACAATGATTACGACGATGATGATGATGGTGGTGATGACAATGATTATGATGATGATGGTGATATGATGATGATGCTGATGATGATGATGATGACACTAGAAGTGTGAGGGCCTCGGGGCGCCTCAACCAAGTGTGTGGGCAACGAGGGCGTGCGCGGGGGGTCTTCCAAATAACGCCGCTGGCTTAGTCCACACTATGCCAAGGAAGACGAGGATGAGGACGGGGGGAAAGAGGAGGACGATCGCCAAAGGGTGAGGAGGACGTCCGTGAAGTGCCGAGAAGCGCCGAGGAGGACGATCACCAGCACCTCGGGGACGCGCGAACCAGGGCCAGCACCTCGGGGACGCGCGAATCTGGGCCAGCCAGGGCCCTGTCGCAAACCGCCGCTGGACACACCGTAACTCCTGGGTCAGAGGAGGAAGAGCCAAAATTCCTGGCGCTGTAATTTTCTCACAGCGAGACCCCCGGAGGCCGGGACCGCTTCCCCGACACCGCTTGTTGCAATCCAGTCGTCTTTTGACGGCCCCAGGGCCCAATCTGGGCCTCCTGACGCCGAGAATGGCCAGCCAAACCCTTCGTTGTGACTTTCTCACGCCGGGAGGGGATCTGGTGGGGGCGTCGGCGCCACGTGGGTCCCAAACCCGGGTCAGCCAGAGGGGATCCCAGGGAACTGGCCGACCCCCCGTTAGCGGTGAGCCCCTGCAGGCTTTCGGGCCAGAGCCCGGGCCTCCGGCTGCCGTCCGGGGGGAGTCTGGCATCCCCAGCCTCGACGAGGCGCAGCTGATGGAAAGCGCCCAGGGCCCCGAAAGCATCCGAGGGGTCTCGAAAACGTCCGAGAAGCCCCGAAAACGTCCGGGGAGCCCCGAACACGTCCGAGGCCCCCCCCCAGGCCCGCAGGCCGCGCGCGCGCGGCGCGACAAGGGGCGGGGCCTTCTCGTGCTGCAGGCCCAGCGCGGCCTCGCGCGGGGAGCGCGCGGCGCCGCGGCGCCGCGAGTGAGACAGGCCTCGGAAAAAATAGCGATCACCCATGCCACATTCATCTGTCAAAGCCTCCCCTTCCCCCCAATGTTCAAAGTTGGCGGTGGGTCTGACGAGTTGCACCTCGATTGCAGTCTCCCCCGCGCGTGCCAACCTTGAGTTTTGGGGGGGGGAGAGTTCAGTAACTGTTTTCCTCTACCGTAGAGAGGGGTCGAGGGATCGAGGGGAAATCGCTCCAGAGCGCTCCATGCGCCGCCAGAGTATGTGTCCACGTCCACTGCCGCGGGGTCGTACCCCGAGGGATCCAGGAGCGATGGCTGTGGGCATCTGGCCGCCCATGCGGGCGGGCAGGGATGCATATCCACCACTCCTCGAGATCCCAGGGCACGACTCCGAAGCGGATGGAGGAGCGATGGCTATGGGCACCTGGTCGCCCATGCGGGCGGGCACAAATCCATCTCCACCACTTCTCGAAGTCCCAGGGCACGACTCCGAAGCGGATGCCTATGGCTATAAACTGGCGGCGGCCTCCAGAAAGCTCTCGGGGCCCCCTGCATCGCCCGCGGCGCCCGAGGCACGGTTTCCAGCGCCGTGCTCGGGTGTCTTGTCCCGGCCCGGCACATGCAAGGCGTCCGTCTGGGGGGCACCTGTCGAGCGGCGTCTTCGGCACATGAATATCTTGCGACGGTCTCAAGTGCTCCTTCCCGCGGCGGCCAGGACGGACTGCACCGTGGCCGCCGCGACAGCACTGCCGTCGGCGTGTCGCGGAGAAGCGGCGTCTCGGTTCGGTTCCTGGCCAGGCTGGTCCTGGACCCAGCCAGGATGGAGAGATCGAGGGATCAGCGGATGGAGGCATCGAAGGATCGAGGATCGAGGATCGAGAATCGAGAATCGAGAATCGAGGCTCTGCGTTCCAAGCGGCGCAGCCCTTTCCGCACGCCGCCCGAGCAGGATCAATCAGCATGCAATCGGGAAATCGGATCG